CCAAAGATGCACTCTTGGTCCATACTGCCGAAGTAGGCTTTTGAGTCACGGGCTTCATGAAACTTGTCCTATCCGCGCAGAATTCAAGCCTTTTGCTATGCTTGATTTCGCAGGACTGGATAATTAGAGCATATTCGACTAGTCTGCACCGCCTGTTTCTTTAGCGATATCAGCGACTTTAAAAATTATTTAACCAGTAAGGTCAGTCGAAAGCACATCTTTTGTAACAAGCGCCACAACTGCGGACTTTACAATCAGCTGTAGAAACTCAACCCTATACAAGGCTCTTGAGAAACGATCGAAGCCTCGGTACTGCTTAGTCACTCGCTTGAGAAACTAATTCGTTTGCTTTGTGTATGAATAGACCAACCTAATGCAGTTTTCAATTTTGAGTATGTACATCAACGCACAGCTTACCTAGTCTTCGAAAATTGATTGATTAAACATTACCCGCCTAACACTGAGTTTTTATGACGGGTTTTTCAGTCAGTTGACCTACAACTTATGAAGGTTCGTTCATAATCGGTTCAAACTGCATTGTCACATGCTGTGTACACTTTGTAAACCGCACTGCAGCCACATATCTCATTACAGTTTAAAGCGAAGATGGCTCCAGACAACCCATAAGCACCGTACCTATTACCGCATCCAAAGTAATAATCCTAGATATTGTTTCGATAAGCTGATCTTTCCATATTGCATACAACTTTTCATCATAACTTTTACACTGGATACCTATCTGTAGATCTAAGTACAAGAGCATGAATTGCACGTACAAACGCATTTACCACAAAGGAGTTGAATATCCTGGTATGATTTCTTCTTCAGTCAACCATAACCATCATTTGTGCTATAAAATGTCATAGTTACAAAGATGTCGTGCCTATACTATGCTGGTGCTTGCACACTGCCTATTAATTACAGCCTCCCAGCAAACTAATATGTTACTACTTCGTGCTGTTTTTTGTTGGTGCTTTTTTTTGAAAACTGACTTGCATCAGGCTCCAGATAAGAAGACATGCAATAGTTGACCATTCAGCAGTTTTCATGTCAGCTTGTCAGTAAATTCGATCTATAGTAGCGGTTTCTCGATTACAGGTGGTAATTTCTGAAAACTGCTTAATATTTTAAACATATGAAACAGTAGCTAAAAAAGCCACATGATCAAAGAATACTGACTGATACAATATATTGGCTACACTAATATGCACAAAAAGAGCAATGAATTTGGAAAACAACCATCAGGTACCATTTAATGTCCGTACCTAAATAAATTATTATGCAATAAAAATAAAAAGAGCATCTAACATGAATATACTTTTGAAATTCCCATTCACGATTGTCTAACGGGCAAACCTGACGTGTCTTCAACCATCGAGATATGCAGTGAAAATGAAACGCGTGCTATAATATCACACTGTAACGTAGTACCTGAGAATATGAAATTAACACACGTTGCAGACTCCCCACGCGACGGTGCATTCCTCATTTGTGGCAGCAGCTTGATTTGCCTGGCATTCTATACCTAAAATCAAATCTTTAGAACTTAAACAGAAAATAATTAATTTTTAAATAAGTCAAAGTCGTTGTGTTAAAAGGCCATTTTGCCAATTTCGAACAATGCCTCGAATCAAAGGACATGACTGACAAGCGAGCCAAAAATGTTTAAGATGTAAGCACAAAGCTACCAAAGTGAGTCTTAAGGCTCAAGATGAATCAGCAGCTGCAGACAACTAAGAAACAACCAACTACCTCATGTTGAAGAGTCTGTGAGTCATGGGCTGAAGCGTCAACATTTATCTATCGCTTGACAGACAATCTTTTTGCAGTGTACTTAGACAGATCAATTTATGCTTATTTTGCTTCATAATGCGGTTACTAAACGAATAAAAGAAGGAATGCCTAGTCTCACCGGCTGAATGAAATAACATGGGGATCTTACTTTTCAGCATAGCAAAATTTGATTCATACAGACCTAACAAAAGTCAGCAAAATATTAAATCTATCATTATATGATGGCAAAAGAAAGATGGTATGACGAGCAAAGCTAACTAGCCTTATTAATAGTTTACTCACATACTTCCACTGTGTAATTAGGTTAAAAGAATAATATGTTGAAGCAGAATGACAAGAAAACCAACAATGGAGCTATGCACACTTCAAAGATAGAATATAGTCCGAAAGAGTTTCCGACGATGAAATGTGCTTCGTAATGTTATCATAATAACACACTTTCTACACGCTGCAAAGGTATATGTATCACCACTAGCACTGAAGAAAATGAGGGACATTTAATCCAATCGAAGATGACTTCTAGAGTAACGATTAAGAATCGAAGATACGAATTCCATAGCACATTGAATATGTCCTGAAAGCGAAGCCTTAGGTGATCAGAAAATGTACAAATTCAATACATGATTCGAAAGGGTTAAATACAATGAGTCTAACAACTCTGTTCGATTCTGCACACAGTAGGTCAAAAAATCAGAAAAAATCAGTTACTTAACAAACTGATCGATGATAAATTAGTTTTGCTTATATCTGAGTTACTCTCATATAAACCGAAATGTCGATCAGCATCCTAGAGGCCTACGTACATGGCAGTTCAATAACGCAGAGTCACACGTATTCGTCAGCCGAGTAATGTTCTAAGTATGACGTTTTAAAGTTTATCCTATAGGAAAAATAAAATAAGTTGTTAAGCAACAGTGCTTACAAACAGAACGCGAGGAACACGTAAACACGTACAGTAACGTAATCAAAAAATCATGTCATGCCAAGTTACATATCACAGACAGCATAATTTCGCTTTGACATGAAATAAACATTAACAACTGTACAGAGGGAACACTGCTCACCATCGGTGTTACCTTTCAGATAACCAGTATGCATTTACATGCTAGAGCAACAATAAAGGATCAGTTTATTTAAAACGGTTGCTAACCATCCAGTCTAACCAAACAAAAACTCAGAAGCATTCAAAACCCAAATCCCAAGAAATAGCAAGATATTTAATACCCAATATCACTATCACATTGACAACGTTCAGTTACCATATGGGAGATGGCAGTGGCGTTTATAGTTTGTAAGCCACCTTGTACACTAGAATGCGGGTTCAGACTCAGCGTGGAGTAAATCTCTTATTAGACGCTAATTCCCTTGAGAAAAAGAATCCACCCCATTGTGCTTCGGTGAACGAACCGAAAAAAATGGTTAGGGAATCGCTGACCATTAAATAATTTGGATAGGATGATGCATTCGTGTAGCCGTGCCAAAGCGTGCGATGCATATGGCCATGCTGTTTGATCAGAGCGCTCTTCGGCAGGAATTCGCCTTGACCCAAGTAATAATGAATGAAAATGAGCATAAGGTTGTAAATTTAAAACACAACAGGTATATTAAAAGTGAAAAGTTGCATAATCGTTCAAATTAAGACTGAATAAAATGTGAGACGAATAAAATGTGAAGAAAAGTACAAATGCGGTTTATATTTATCTATATGGCCTTAAGCATCAAATTAGAAATAGCCATCACACTTACAGAGGTCCATTATGTGATTACGACAAATGGCGCAGTTGTCAACGACGATGTCCCATGCCCAAAGAGCGACGGCATTCCACTAAATACAATGACATCATTCGCACAACAGATAATATGTCATTTCTAATACCTTTTTGACTTCGAACCGTTTCTTCTCTGTCTTGCCCGTTGTACTCGAAATTGGGTGTTCCATATCATTATCATCGACTTCCATGACAACCGACCAGCAACAAACTACTTATAAGGACTTAAGACTGTGTAGGATGCTACAATGAATAAAAAACTAATGTAAAACAAAGACCACTTTGCAAAATTGAACGAAATATAACGCCAACAAAATACAAACGTTTCGAAATGACTTCTATATACAGACCAGATCAACAGGTTTAGCTTAAACAGGAAGGACTCGTTAAACGGAAACGTACCTATCTTCCGTGCAACCGTTAAATTGCAAAATGGAAATAATGTAAAGTATCATAAGAAACATATGATAAGAAATGGTAGCATAAGTACAAAATACAAAAAATAACGGTTAACTGTTAAACAACAAAAAAATGGCAACTGCTATGAACGATTTTAATGAGCTGATAGGAACATAATGCAACAGAAGGCATTGATTATAAATCTGGGAGACGCAGACACTTAGAGCCTGCATTTGAAGTTTGAATTAAGTCTCTGTTGTTTAATACTCAATTTTGAAGGCTCCTCGGACATACTGAAATCTTAGAAAAGAAAACGACTTTTCAAGGACACCATTTAAAATATTTCTTTCTAGCATTGAAAATGCAGTGTTGGGTGTTACGAAAGTAATCGTAAAATTTTCTGTAACAATCAGAGAATGACTACTTCTCTGTGGTGGCTAAATTAAAGCTTCACACTAAAATGAAGACCTTTTTCTACACAGTTATTAAACTGCTTTACTGAGGAAAGGTTACGCTTTCAGGATATCCAAACTCTGGGAATGAATAAAACTTTTTCGTTCAGCCTATTAAAATTTTTTCCTCAAAATTATGCATAATGATACCATGCATTCGACAGACGTATCAGTTTCAAAGTAGCTTGAGATCCAGCTGTTTATTTATTGCCATTGACTTTCACGTTACATTGCTAGCCATTCTACAAACTGTGGACCGTCTTATATCCGTCGAATGGGAGGCACCTTTAACAAATTCGTTTCCTCATATAAGACCTTAAGGCTCATAACAGGGCCATTTCCGACAATACCTCATTAACCGTCTCTTATCAAAATTGAAAAAGTGAGTTATGACTTCCGTACTCGTTGACAAAATGACTCGTATTTATTGTGATGATGATTTTGGAAAGCTAATGTCCGATTGTCTTCGAAAAGCCGCACGAAAGAAGTTCACAATCAGATTTAGAGAGATGAATATAATATATGTAATATTGACATCGTCGCACTTTGGCATCCCGCATGGACAGCATTCATGACAAGGACTTGATGCTGATTACAGATAGTGACGCTTTCTGGCCCCGAGACTATCGACTGCTATGGACGACCAGCCATATTAATGAAACTTCACCATCAACCTACTCTGAAGAAGGTTCTATTAGACACGGGCCGAAACCTCGGTATTGATTAGTCAACGGACTGACCACAGTATCTTCTGCGTTGTGTATAAGTAAACGGTATCTTATGTTATTGTTTAAGAACTTCATAGGTTTTTTGCTTCATTTCAGTACGAAGCAAATATTCTATAACTTTCTTTGGCATCTATATTCTTAAAAAATTATCGACTTTGTTTTTGAGGCATTAAACCGCTGAAATTTCAATGGCAAAACAGTTAGACCAGATAATGGTACAATTTATTATAATGGTACTCTTTATCTTGATATCCACTAATGATAATTGTACCTGCAGATCATTACAGATTTACGATATAAATACTTGACCGTACGTAAATGACTATTTTCGTAAGCGTATTTATGTTTCATTCTTTTTATGTTGTTGTATTTAGCTTTTTCAGCTTAATAAGCAAACGCCATCGTTTTCTTCAATTATATGTTTACTGAGGCATATGTATATGAAATTTGGCCTTTGCAAACGATCTGTACCTGTATGGATGTCGTTTTTTCATTGGTGCCTGGATTTTCTATTTAGTCTATTTGCTTAGTTTAACCGCGGAAAGAACAGTTTTTCTGGATCGGCGTTTCTTCAGATATCTGAGCCCTTATTGTTTTTCACATCGTAAAGAAATTGCATATGGGCTTCTTTATACTCTAATACTTATTTGCAGTATTTTTCAGCAGTTAAAGGTCAGAGATGTCGGGCAAAGGTGGATGCGTATGGTTTCAGAAGGTCATTAACATGAAATCGCGTTCAAGGGGTTGTCATTTGGTCACAGAAGAAATACAACAAGCACTGCCAGAATTGCAGTCGGTGGATATTGGAGTACTGCACTTGTGTAGTACGATGAGGTGCTTTGATAAAAGTTCTGCCATTCCTAATTAGCTTTTGTAGTTCAGCATACATCGGCCAGCATTACTTTAAACGAAAATTGGGACTCGAATGTGAGGTGAAGTAGGTTTGCACACAAAACAGCTGATTGACGGTGTCTTTTAGGACCGACGCTGAAATGATGCTGAACCACCTCGTTCCGGAAGTATTTGCGTATTTTCTTTTGTAACTTATTTTCAAATCTTATTGTTCTTTACCGATCTGGCGTTAGTTTCCACGTTACCATGATCGGTCAATGATTAAAGTAACAACTTCGCACAGCGAAGTACAGTATGGTGTAATTACCACAGGCGTTAAGATCTGTCATTCTTTAAGTAAGGAGTTTTTATGTGACGACTGTAATCAAGGTTTAGAGTTTTGCTTGTTCTTTAAGACTAAGTTTCCTCAGAAAAGGGTACATATACTACACTTTCAGACTAATGGATGTTTGGGGCGGGGAGTTAGTCCTTAAAGGATGCATCTTCAAATATTTCTGGAATGCCATCTTGATGGATGATCACTGCCACAGGAACAAAAGTCCCGATCAGTGAGTGATGAAAGACATGAAGTAATCGAAAAATTAACATATTTTAATGCATTACTTATCGAATAATAGCCGAGTCAATTCTTTTTAATTACTCTCTGACAAAGAAGGCATGTAATTCAAATCCTAAGTTGTTATATTGTGTTATAATATGTTTTTGTATAACATCGAAAACTAGGATTTAGTGCGTAAGAGCATTTGACATTATTAGTATTATTACTGAAAACTGCAGTTGTATAAGAATTTTCTGCAGAGCTGTACCATGTAACTAGAAAATTGGCAAAACGTAAAAAAACTTTCTTTATGACATTTTTAACCTGGTACGAAATTCAGAACCAGAAACAGCAAAGTTTAAATACCGTAAAACCCCTGAACTAGTGAATATATCGGTTCTTTCGTTTGTAACTTTTCGAGAAATTCTTTGCAATTCAGTTTCGTGTAATCGAGTTCGAATTCTTTGCCTTCGGTTTCGATGTACAGTGGTTTCGTAGTATGGAAAAGTTTTTTGTCAAAATGTAGTACACGGAAGTAAAGGGAACAAGGCCGAGAAGAGTGGCGAAACGTCGAAGTGATCCTGTGGCGCGGTCGCTGATGATGACTAGTCGAATAAAAAAAATCATTTCCTATTAGTCAACAGAAATTTTTGACGTTCGATTTTTTATTATATTGTTCTGAAAGTTATTTCACATTAATTCAGCAGAATTTTTGCATGATTAAGAGGCAAACCTCTTCAGGCATCGTTAATCATTATTTACACCATCCATCATAATCATAGTGAATAGGTTTCATACAGTAATAATTAACCTTGTTATTGGCGATTTTCTAGCAAGCTGCGAGTTTTTGATACTGTCTGTAAGAATATCAATCAATCTGTTGCTTGTCCCGATTCACATCCATCCGACAAATGCGATCTGATTAAACGGTCCTCTAGTACAGTGGACGGGTTGACTACGCCACGAAAATCTATGCGAGTGGCAGACATGTTATTCTTACCGGCGGTATCTAGATCTGTCGGTTTGCTAATAAATCAGTTGTACCTTGTTGAACTTTTTATATATGCCTACGGATCGATGAATATCTGTTGATGTTCGAACGGTTTTTTGATCCAACAATATTTCGCGCTCGGTGCTAAAATACTTTGGAGCCGCGGCCTGTGTAGACCACCTTGAACCACTAGAAGCAAAATGAGGACGTTACAATGCCTTTATGTAAGTTACATTAAATTTTATTTTGCATAATGTTTAATGGAGTTTCCAGCTAATGTCCATATTTACATTTTTAACAAATTTGGTGTTTTTGTAAAGGCAGAAATAAACAGTTATAGCTTTTATTCCCCTTACAATTTCTCCATATCTACTCGGCTTCTAGTAGTCTAATGGACTGTTTACGCAGATAGCGGATCCGTGGTATTTTAGTACTTGAATTTTATGGCTGCAAAATCGCATCACTTGTAAGGCCGAACAGAAGTCTCTTCGAAAACTTAATGAAATGCCACTATCCAACAAATTAGCAATTCGTTGGTAAACCCATAATACCGGGTTTATTTGTATAACATTTGTTTTGTTTTCTCTTAGTGTATTGTGATCGATCATTTCAGAATTTTGGCTTTCGCCACGTCTGTGAAGGTCCAGATGACATGCCGGCTCACATCAAAACTGCGTTTATTGGTCCAACTTTGTGTATCCCGATAACTCGAGGCCAGCTTAACCTAGGAACTTGGCAAGGAATATGGCTCTGCGAACATCGAAATCATGGCGGTATGATTAACGGTTTTCCGCCACGGTTCATCAGTAAGTACTTTTAGGAAGTAGAAACATTGTGGCAACCATTCAAGGAAAACCCGTTGATTGAATTTTGTATTTTTATGCTAAATGTTTGTTTTATGTAAATCAAGAGAAACTTAAAATGCCTTATTTGATTTTTGAAAATTATTTGTCGACATTAAATCAGTGTAGATATGATTTGCGTTAAGCAAAAAAACCCAACAGATGCTGCTGATTAATAGGTCTAACAATTATGATCTTACCTAAGTGGTGTGCACTATACTTCAGTAAGCTACGGGTCCAGATATTTACTAGTTCTGTGACCTTATTTCGAAAGTTATGGAAGGTGGCATCCATTCGTTGCCTGCTTGAATAGTGGTTAATGATCTTCTGTTCTCCATGCATGGTTCAAAGCAACAAGTATGGCTGAAGCCATTGATCGGTAAGCGAAGATCCTTCTCTACACGCTATTTCATTTTATTCTTTACAGTAATGCTTTGCCTATAAAGCAGCTATTATTTTTGAAAGCCTGCTTATTCTAGGGATGTTGTATTAGTCATCTTGACTCCATGAAGTGTTCTGTCAGCGTCAGCAAAAGATGGCTGTGATGCATAAATCTGAATTATTGTTGTGCTAGTAACCTTTCTGACGACATCATGTGATGCCGGTAAAACTCAAACGCTTATGATGTAATGAGGAAATTAGAAGGTTACTATTGGTATATAGAGTAGTATGCGATGATAGGTCGTTTGATATTGGGTTCTTCGTGTTCATCATCATGCAGATTCACTGTATATGCGTTCATATGAAGTTTGCTGGTATAACAGTATGTGATTGTGCATGAAATGCCCTTCTCGTATCCTTCTGAATCTGGCGTTGATACGAATGTTGTTGAGGCAACGGTATTGTTGACGTACTTGAAAGATTTAGACGACAGGGTCACTGCGGTCGAAAAGTAATTTGGTTTAAAACAACATGTGCCAGAACTGACTTTTATTCCTTTCTGAACCTACCTTCATTTCTGGAGCAATGAGAAATTGCAGAAGCATCATATTAGCTAGTGATCGATGAAATAGTAGGATATGTAAATTAATCTCTATTTTATCGATAGTCGTAATGGTTTTTATCGAATTTGTAATTCCTGATAATTTTCTTCTGTCATGTAATTGGGGGCGGGGTGAGGGAGACCATTGGCAACTTAAATGTTCAGATTTCTAAACAACTGAATATTGGCTACCACCATTATTTCCGCAGTATCATTCTGTTCCTCAGTATTTTGCCGTGAACTTTCATGGCGGGACTTTGAAAATAATATGGTCTTATTTTCATGACCACAGTCACGTTGCTGGATGGACTTCATCTTCCAGTGGTGAAATATGTTCTCCGGTTCCCCTGTCCCAATCTTGTTTCAGCTCAGCCATTCTTGACGAACCATGCTAGGGGGTTCTGTGGTCCGGTAAGAGCAGTTTTTGTATCGTCCCATTATCACTGTTCCCGATAATCAGCTATGAAGCCGGTGTCTGATTTGAGCAAAATTTTGTTTTAATGTTGTTAATAGCTAAGTTGTGGCGTAATGGAATAAACTTTCTGTTTTGAAATTTTAAAGTGAATTTACTCGAAGGAGCAAAGTCTGGCCTGCAGATTATATTGCAATAAAACGTGGTAACTATTTTGGCTTCGTGCTTGTTTAAATCTTACGAGTTGCGAAGAAACAGTTTACTGTGCGCTGATGAAAAGGCGATCTGATCTCTTGTAAAAATTATTTCAGATTTGAAATTACACATGTTTGAAATGCACATTCATTTGGTGCAGTTATGCAATTATTTAAAAAAGCATGGATTTCGTTTCAAACGAGCAAAGCCGGTACAAAATCACCATTTTTGTCGTAAGTCATTCCGGTTATGAAATGCCAGAGCAGCCGTCATTATTGATCACATGCATATGTTTTATACGAACAAGAAATGCTGTCATCAGAGCATCACAATCACGGACGGTCACGGTAGTCGTTCATGATGTGTACAGTATGCCATAAACGTACAAAACAACAGATCAATCGTAACTAGAGGTAACTGCATATTGCAACACATGTACAAATCGAACGCTTTCTGAAACGTGGTCAAATTATCGTTATATGATGAGAAATATAATTTCGAGCACCTTTGGAGTTAAAGCTACCCTAATAACACTGGTCAATATGTGCCTAAAAATAAACAATAAGCTCACATGTAATGACTGACGTCACACGAATGTGAAATAGCCGTCTGATTTTCGTCGTTTACCTTTGCCTCTTGTCGGGTTGACCACTTCAAAGTTGGGCTTCTTGGAATGTTGTCCGAGAAGCCAGCTTTTGAAGTTCATTTCAGTCATTTTCATGGGCGAATGCATGTTGATATTGGCTCCCTCGAACATTTCGATCGGTGATTTCCTGACCATGTCATTAAAGTTGCGCCACAGCGCCACGACTAGCTCAGTGGCCATTATATCACCGGCGTGAGCGGAAATCATCCTCAAACAGAACACGCCGTCCAGTCCAAGGTACTTGTGTACAAATTTTTTTACCGACTGTCTATCCGTGATTAAATCGGTAGCATGCAGATACTTCCGAATAAACTTGATCCTTTGCCCGGGAACTAGTGATATGACTACCCAGTGACAGAATGAGCAAATCGTCACCAACGAAACGACTAGAAACCAAAACCAAAGAAACAGAAATATCTTCTCGTTGAACATGTTGATCATGATGACGCACTGTACAGTATGATGGTGGACGTTTCCTAGAACTCTGATCTCAAAGTCGCACATGGTCACTCGCGGAAAATTCCCTGATTCGTCCCACTCGCGACCGTTCAGTAGGTCCATCAGTATATGGAAGCCATACAGCACGTTGCTGGTACCGAGGAAAGTGTTCAGCAGAAATATCTGGCCCAAAACGTTTACGACGTATAGCAGCTTGATCATAATGTACAGGTAGGTGACATAGCTGCTGAAGCGGTTGCCAAAGCAGGTGGCGCACAAGTCGTGCTCCGTCACCTCTCGCTGGATTTCCAACGCGTCTTCTATATGGCCGGCAATAGTCTGAACAGTGAGTGACCGCGAATCGCTGTCCATCATACGAGCATCACATGCCATCTGAGTTAAACCTTCAACGTTTATCCCTAAAGTAACATCAACACGTGCATACGCATAAGCTTGGCAAAGTTACATGCAATATGATGTACTTTTTCAATATTTTTATGTCGATGTCATCTCAAATGGAGAAACATCATGTTAGGAGAAAGCAGCACTCTTAGAATTCCGAAAGCGTACGAATTTTACAAGTAAACGGAACGACTGAACTTCCAAATCGCGAAATCACGGTTCCTAAGGCGGATGCGCGGCTGTTGCGGTTTGGATCTCTCGATTAATACAATGAAATCGGCAAAATCTCGATTAAGGTCCGTCTGACCCTTGACATTGAAGCTATGGAAAAGGTACCTTTGACGGACGAGTGAAAAACGAAATTACGAGGCGCTGTGGGTTTTCAATGGCAACGAGCAACAAGTTGTATAGAGTCTAGAAGGACAAAGGACAAAATTGATGGCAATAGTACAAAGCTGCGGATATACAAAGTTTGCATTTTGAACATCCTTCAACATGGCTTGAAGGCGACAGCACTTAACGGACTTTAAAACAGGAAAC